AGCCCTCGTGTAGCTTTGCGCGAAATTCAAAACAAACAAATAAACTTGGGGTGTTATAATAGTGAAAGTCAATCCTGCTATTCGGTTAAGAGATGTCGCTGTGGGTGCTGCCGATTGGTGGCTATCTGGTGAACAAACATAGAAACTGAACGTAAGGAAATTGAAAAATACAACATACTTATTATTTTAGTAAGATTGCAATCAACTACAAAATAACTGATTAAAAATGTAACACTCTTTACATTTTGTCATGTCATAACATGTTTTGGCTATATTTTTTCACACGTTGTGTTGAAATTTTGATAATGGTGTTAATAAAGGCAATTATGACCACCTAACGACTATAAATTGCTATATATTTATACACACACACACGTCATAAACTAAATACCGCGTTGTTGTATGCATTTTAAGGCTTAGGTTGTGCTGTTATGTATACGACTAAAGTTAAGGCTAAGTGGGTAGTGTTCAGTTGGTGTATTAAACGGTATTTTTATTTATATAGCCTAGTCAAAGAGAAATAAAAACACTTTTTAGATAAACTTGTTTTAAAAACAATTATTTACTTTAGAAAATAGCTTGCACATTGCGCTGATATCGTTAAAACGGAGAGAAACATAATGTAGCCTAACAGCCCAGTCGCATTCACAGTCACAGACCAAGGTATCACTACATCAGTCTATGACTGAGTAATTGAAATTTAAAATTGGATGTTGTTTTCTTTTCGTCTCTGAAATCTAGATAGATCAAAGTACACAGGTAAGTAACTAGCGTAGCAGAGTTGAAATCTAGTTAAAATTATATAACAAAAAAAACGCTTAAACTTTCAAAGAACGATTATCTGAAATATCTCGTACGGTATAGTGATACACAGGGCGATCACAGTTTTAATTTTTTTTCAGGTAGAAATTGTTTTATGAGTCAATTTGAGATAGTTTTAAAGCTTAAACTAAAAATAACCCAAAATTCACTTCATAAGACTCGACACTTAAATTTTGATAAATTTCGGCTAAGACTAGTCCTATATTATTTACTTATTGATAATAATATTAGATCATCCAGTTATTTACATTAAATTGATTAATCTATTAAACAAGTTACTCGACAGTCATTGGTGATTAACATTGGGCATCTTTACAAAACGTAAAGGCACAACAACATGAGTATAACTATACTATGGTATAAGTTATAACATATGTAAGTCTGTGAAAAGAAAAACTTGTTTACTTTTTCTACCCAATGTAATATTTCTATCATGAACAAAATCTATGAACTTCTAATTACATACTTCATCTTATAAAACCATATTTTTGATATTTTAATGTAACTTAGAATAATCACAGTAAGAAATTCTCTTTCACACAACTTTTCATCAGATATTTACTTAAAAATATCCAATGTTCCACAATGATCAGAGTAAGACTTAGTCACTTCAGTTTCATTTACATAAGTTAACATTAAAAAGAAATGTTTTAATAAACTGAAGTATTCAGTTAGAAAGAATTAACTGTTACTAATAGTATTACTAGTAAGTTTTATGTGACATTGCTTTGGAAAGAAAGAGAAATGGTAGGTTTTCTTTCCTAATGAACATGATTGAAATGCTCATTTATAGTATCAAGGCTTCTTTGCTTCATTCTGTCGTACAAGTTGACACTGGGCATGGGTTTCATGCTAGTAATGTAAACCTAAGTTACGATGAAATGAACTCTACACATTACACAAAGACAAATTGCAGCAGCATATGTAATGCACACTGTTACACGTTACTTTGCAGCACCAACAGTTACACACGTGTTTTTGATAAGCATATTTTATTTATAAAACTGATTTCTGAAATAAAACTATTAAGCTAACAAAGTGTATATGAATTCTTCCTGATAAAGTGGACAAATATTACTTTAGAAACTACTTAAAATTTTATAGTCACAAAAGTTTGATTTCCTTTCTGAAACACTACTGTATAGTGCTTGGTTACATATGTTATTAAGATCTAATCAAAAATAAGATATTCAGATCAGATAATAAAAACATTCAAGTTAATGAATCCAGTACAATAATCTTGCTTAAAATAATGAATGTTATAAAATTATGCACCAGATATTTGAGAACTAAAGCCGAGGCTATAAGTATAGTGATTAGATTGCTCTAAGTCATCAGTAGGGTACCCGAACAGTTCCAGTAATATTTCTTTGAGGTATGGTAAGCATAAAGAGTAATGTTTTTTCCTAATATTATTATAAAATTATGCACGTGAGATTTGAGAACTAAAGCCGAGGCTATAAGTATAGTGATTAGATTGCTCTAAGTCATCAGTAGGGTACCCAAACAGTTCCAGTAATATTCCTTTGAGGTATGGTAAGCATAAAGAGTAATGTTTTTCCTAAATGTTAATCCACATAAACCAAAACTGATTGCTCAGTAATTAGTATAAGGGTAATTAATAAAAAAAAATCTGGACAACCAGTACCAAATGTAATAGTGTCTTTACAAATACATTATCCATTTGGTACCTAGATCCCCGTTGGCTTATTAATGTGCATATAAATATATGAGTGGAGCCGAGTCATTAACTCGATTGATAGATATAATCCATTATGTATGAGCATCAATTAGTGTCGTGTAAAATAATCAGTTAGACGAAATTATTATTAAAATGATTAATATCACAAAAATAATCAATTAATCGAAGTTAATGTTTCTGATTCTTCCAGCTATTCAAGTCTCGCATGAGGGTAATTGAGTTTTTTTAATGTAAACTGAGCTTAACAATTAATTATTTATCAAATTCTACTAATCACCCAGCCTTTTCTGATCAAGATTACTGCAGTTTCTTACCTCTGTTATCACAAACTAAAGAAAGTTGCAAAGGTTAATAAAATTTATTAACAAATGCACACTAGATGCCTGTTTGGAAATCTTTATCAGAGATGTATTAGTGATTAGGACAACAGCATAATTAAATATCTAAATAATTCTCTCAAATAATGACAAGCAATAAATGAAACAACAACAAAAGAACATGACAACTGTGTATCGTAAATTAATTGTGCATCAAAGATAAGTAGCCTCTGGCTTCCAACACTTACTCTTGCAAATTTACTTTTACACTCATTGAGAAATTCCTGCATTTTATTTTATTGAGAATGAAGGGGGGGGGGTATTACTTAATTTAGATATGTATGTGATTACCAACCATAATATTTAGTTTTCTGACTATTTCTGAGATACAAATATCACACGAGTGTCCACTCCAATGGTTTTAATTAAATCTTGGGAATGTATATCATTACTGGCAGGAGGTAATGACATGTCTTTACAATATGAATACTAATATAGAAGTACAGATTTATTTTGGTTTACAAGAAATATAACATACAAAAAACAAGGGATCATTTGGACCTACACTTGAGAAAGTAAAAATTTAAACCCAACTTTTATTTTTCAATGAATAATTGTTTTCCTCTTAAAACTTCCATTACTGCTGTTAGCAACTCATTCGATATGTCAAACACGTTGTTTGAAAAATACAACTGTTTTAATTGGAACCTTTTCCAACTCGTAAACATGTGTCTTATACCATTACCTTTAGAATGTAGTACAAAGAAATTGGAGGCCTTTGTCCTATTGATTCCCCCAGAAAACCTTGTAAACTCAAATAAGATCAATTCTTACTCTTTTTTTCTTTTTTTTTCCCCTGTAGGATAACCCTTCCCTCTCAAGAGTCATGCTTGTAGCCTTCCTCAGAACATTCCAATAAGTCAGTATCCTTTCTTAGATAGAGAGAACTAAACCATATATAGTATTCCAATTTAGGCCTAACTAATGATTTGTGTAGAGAAGGGGCAATTGATGGAACTTGCTAATCACTTAATTATTGGGCTGATTAATCGATTATTCTCCCCTGATACTTGGATAATTGTAATAATCAGAAACACTAATTTAAATCATTTGATTATTTTATGTGACACTAATCAACGTATTTAGTCACTCAGCTATACTTTGGATATATAATAAGTATGTTTAAGAAAATGCTTTAAATTCTGTTAGCTTTACTACTAGTAATCGAGCACTGCTTCAGTGACTTGACCACCACTATGCCAAGTACTTTTTTGTCATTACACTATTGAGAGAGTTCCCATCTGTATTAAATGTGTGATCCAGTTAATATCCCAGATGCATTATCTTGCACATGCTATTATGGAAAGACCTATATTTGTCCAACTTACCAATTGGTCCCAAAACATTCTGTAATATCTTCAAGGTAGCTCGAAATACCCAAGAGTTTAATGTAATTAATTGCTAATTATGCTCCTATCAGTATCACTAACATGAATAAAAAGACATCAGAAGTACAGCACTGCCCCCTGAAGCACTCTACTAGCAACACAAAGGTCACTAGTTTGGTTGATATTTTGTAAAAAATGGACTTTTCTGTGGCTTATTAAATAATTAATGTTTTATAGGATACGTCTAATTTCCATGACTCAATAGGTAGCAAAATAAGATTATACAGCTCAAGAAAAATGAGTGGTTGTAATATCTCAAAATTTGTTTCAGATTAAATGTAATGCAGAATTTTGAAGAAAAAAAATACAAGTAGCCATTATTGAAAATGTGATACCTGAGGATCATAAAATTTATATTAAAGCTTTTTTCATTACCCAGTCAAGCCATCTCAAAACTTTTAAAATGTGATAAATTTTATTTAGTACATTTATCTTTTAGTGTTGTATTGGATGTGTAAAGACAGCCTTGAAAACCTAAATGGTTCCTTATTGTCTTCAAAATCTTGAATATTTTGTATAGAGGTTCCTTTCGGGTTTGGGCCCGGCAAGGCCAAGTGGTTAGACTGCTTGACTCGCAATCTGAGGATCGCGGGTTCGAATCCCCGTCCCACCAAACATTCTTGCCCTTTCAGCCGTGGGGGTGTTAAAATGTGATGGTCAATCCCACTATTCATTGGTAAAAGAGTAGCCCAAGAGTTAGTGGTGTGTGGTGATGACTAGCTGCCTTCCCTCTAGTCTTTCACTGCTAAATTAGGGACGGCTAGTGCAGATAGCTCTCGTGTAGCTTAGCTCAAAATTCTAAAAACCCAAACCCAACCCTTTGGGGTTCTAATCGAAATATGGTTGAACATACTATAAGAGGTGATAAACTCAGTCACTATAACCAATCACCTGTGAGAACTGGTCACGTCAGTTAGTATTATGTAAAATTATCGACTAATTAAAATTTTGAATAATGTCTTGAAATTATTGTTTCTAATTATTACTTTTTGAATTATTCCAACTATCCAAGTAATTGAAATATTGCCATTATGATCTAGTGTATCTGTAGAGTGTCGACAATAATCAATTATTAACTTCCACTAATAGCCCAGCTCCTTCATAATTTCTCTTCTTGACTATAGATGGGCCGATGATCTAATGTATCTGTAGAGTGTCATGTGTTACTTATAACGTCTGGATGTTGTTGAATCCTGTTTCTGAACGGGAATATTTCAGTTTGATTTACCACTGTGAACTTGTGTAAAAACATCTTAGCTCATTAGTGATTATTTTTTAATGTTAGTATTCTCTATTCAAATGATGCTTAACGTAGATGCCCACTGGGTTACGCATCCCATTCTCCGACATTTGGCCACTTGTTGACAAATCGGTAAGTGATAAAATGTTTGAGTATATATATTTATAAATTTTTGTAAAGTATTGCATATTTCAGCTCACTTATTTAAGTTTCTGACTGCTGGGCCTTAGGGAATCAGTTAAAGAACTTACAAAGTTTGGACACTTAATCTTATTTCATGCACAAATCAAGTAACTTATTTAATAGCAAATTATAGTGATGTCTGTATATTTATACATTTTCCAAGTAAGTCACTTGTGATTTTATGGACTTAAAACTTAGAGAAGTAAGATATTGATATTTTCTATAGTATTTTGTGTATTGTTACTCTTTGTAATTGTTTTCTATTTCTGTTTGTATTCATGTATTTCAGTATAAAATTTGTATGTTTTGATGAAATGTCCTTTACTCATCACTATATGTCATAAATTAACTTATAGTGACAAACATTTGAATGTCTGCTTAGTTTATTATTTTTAATATATGTCATAAATTATTGGATTTACAGTAAAAAATGTCATTAGCAGCATTCTAATGTTTGTAACTAAGAACCTAAGAAAGGTATAACTGTTCAGCTATACTTATTACCAGGTTGATGTTTAGTTTTACTCTATGTAACTAAGAACCTAAGAAAGGTATAACTGTTCAGCTATACTTATTACCAGGTTGATGTTTAGTTTTACTCTATGTAATTAAGAACCTAAGAAAGGTATAACTGTTCAGCTATACTTATTACCAGGTTGATGTTTACTTGAACTTTCTCTGATCAGAAGTTAAATATTCGGAACATAAGAAAACTAATTTTTGGGATTAAAATCAGTTACATTTTAGTGTAGGAGTGTTAAAATTACTGTTACACTTTAGTGTAGGAATGTTAAAATTACTGTTACACTTTAGTGTATGAATGTTAAAATTACTGTTACACTTTAGTGTGAATGTTAAAATTACTGTTACACTTTAGTGTAGGAATGTTAAAATTACTGTTACAATTTAGTGTAGGAATGTTAAAATTACTGTTACACTTTAGTGTATGAATGTTAAAATTACTGTTACAATTTAGTGTAGGAATGTTAAAATTACTGTTACACTTTAGTGTATGAATGTTAAAATTACTGTTACACTTTAGTGTATGAATGTTAAAATTACTGTTACACTTTAGTGTATGAATGTTAAAATTACTGTTACACTTTAGTGTATGAATGTTAAAATTACTGTTACACTTTAGTGTATGAATGTTAAAATTACTGTTACACTTTAGTGTGTGAATGTTAAATTTACTGTTACATTTTAGTGTGTGAATGTTAAATTTACTATTACACTTTAGTGTGTGAATGTTAAAATTACTGTTACACTTTAGTGTATGAATGACAGATCAATTGTGTGTAAGTTTTATCCTTTTGTGGTCACAGTTTTGATTAGAAACATATGTAGATAATGAATTAGTAACTTTGTTTTGGAAAACTGTTCCAATTTAATTTGATTCTTTGGCAATAAAGTCGAAGGGAAGATCTTCTTGATGGGTAACATTTATAACTTTTTGTTTTGTGTTAAGAATATAATCTATTAGTTTTTTGTATTTGTGAAAAGATTTGTTAAAGATACATTTCTCTACTTTTAAAAACAAGAGGGAAAGAAAGAGATATTTACTTTTATAGTTGATCTGATTATCTACAAGAACTCAATAATGCTAAGAATGTCTAAGTTTTAATATCGGTGATCATTTGCAGTTGTTTTTCGTTGCATGGAAGCAAAGCTTAGAACAATGTAGAAAAGCAGATATTTCTAGCTAATTTTAAGGTTTAGTAATTATTAATTTTATATGATTTCATCTAATCGCCGAGTAAAGTGTTCTTCCTTAACTGTGTATTTGTTAGTCGAGCCTAAAATTGTTAATTTATCGTATTTTGTATTAGGGTTTCTTCCATGACATTTGTATTTTGTAAATATGTATTTGTAATAAACACATGTTTTGAATTTATTGTTTTACTTTCACTGTGCTTATTAATTTAAGGTTTATCGACTTGTGCCCACATACAAAATTATTACTGTTGTACACCTTTTGAGTAAGTGCCACTTTCAGTTACTGAATATAATCTCTTATTGGGTACTGATAAGAAATCATAACAAAACTTTTGATTCACTTCATAAAACTATCATAACATCATGGCTGGCACTAAAAGGAGGCTGGGGGGGAGGCTATAGCCACCCAACCAGTGTGTCCAGCATGCTGGTGATCTACACCTCTTGACAACAAAGCCCCCCCAACCTGGGAAAGGCTGGTGCCAGACCTGCATGGCATTCAACAGTACTTGCATTTTGATTTTGTTTTTACTTTCCATGTTAGTTAAGACAAATGTACATTTTACTCTTGAGTTGACTATTCCATGTGTTTGCAACTACTCATGGACAGAATGATGTAGTCGTTGTGTTTTGTCCATAGAGGAAGTTATGTTAAGATCCTTAAATGTATAAACAAGTTCACTCAACAATAATTAAGATAATCAACCAAAGTAATACCTGGCAGGAAATGACACCGACGCAAGCTGCCGTACTACTGGTAAGTTTTAAGGTTAACTGTGATATTGTTTTAACTGGTGGCTGTATGTAAATACCAGTGATTTAACCTGGCAGATTTCAACATACCAGCTAAAATAGGTTTTTTTATAACTCAACTTGTACTGACAGATTTTGTTTTACTGAATAAAATATATTTCAAAAAATCTGTTTTGTATTTCTTTGTAGTCTTTCTCAGTTACTTAATAGCTTAATTTACAAAGAGTGTCTTAATTCTTTCGTTTCTTCATTTTGACTTTTTCTAAGTTGAAAAGTGGTCTTTATATATGAGTGTAAAGAAATGAGAATTCAAACTCCAACATTCAGCTCAAAACTGATGTAATAGAAATTATATTGTTAAGGTAAATATGCAGCATTAGTACAAGAATTAATTACTTCATGTTATAATGTATTCCCCTATTTGTTTAGGATATTCTCCAAATAATTGGAAAATGCTGCCATAGTTATACAGAAGATAATTTATAAATCAGATAAAACATTTACAAAAGCTATCATTAGACATTTTGTTAAAGATTGTCATAAAAAATTGAAATATCAATGTGAATTATACTATATAATTTTTGAAATTTGTATTAACATTTTGTTTTCTTGAATTAAGACTTTTTCAAATGTCATATTATAGTTCTAATACCACACTGTCTTAAAAGATGTGAAATATAACAATTTCACTGAAATGATCAAGATGAGGCTTGAAAATGTGATATAGCATTAGTTGAGGTTAATGATAGATAACATTATTAAGTTGTAAAGAATGATGAGCTACAGTTGTAATTATTATTAACACATTTTATACACAACAAACTTAAAAGAACAACCAAAAGAAATTGTAGATGTTTGGAAGTTTGGCTTGACAAAGTATGTATTTCCAGTTTATTTTAAGTAAATATAATGTAAGAATAATAAATAGGCTGTTGTAAAATTTGACTACACCTGTTCTTCCTTTTTTTTTCTTCGATGTAGAAATGTGCTCAAGTTTTAGAATGCAAGGCCTTCCTGTTGGAGTGTTTCTAGACTCTAGTGCATCTTATAGTTTACAAACTACCAAGTTCACATGTGAAGTATGTAACAAAACTTTCACCAGAAGAAGTGACATGAAGCGTCACAAAAATATTCATTCACGTGTTCGGATGCATTTCTCCTGTCACGTCTGTTCGAAGATCTTCACATGGAAGAGGAGTTTACAACGACACGTGAAATTTCATTGCCAGAATCCATAAACATTTGATATGCCCTCCGATGAACTTACAAAATATATATAATATAGTTATTATTAGTAGTAATTTAGTTGGATATTTTTTTACCTGAAAATCGAGAGTTAATTTCTCTAGCCATCTTATTAAAATACTGAAACCTATAAATTCTAACACCAGATGGCTGAAAGAACCTTTATTTGGCTAAAAAGTGGCATACAGAATTACTATATCTGCAAAAAAAAAATAAACCATTGAACCCAATATTAAGAAGTTGTCATGATAGTGTGATAATACCATAACGTTCAATTTTTTGAATCCTAAAAACCAATGTTTTTACCTGCAATGCTAATCAGCTTTACATTGATAGCAGATATAAATCATAGTTTTTCCATCTTCCTGATTACTCTTAAATTATGTTTAAAGGACAGGAAAAGTTTATAAAGATTTTAGTAAAAGCTGTTGATGGTCAAGTACCAACTAGTGCGCTCAAAGCTTACCCATGTCTGTGTTTGATTATGAATATCGTGACTGAAGGAAAGTATACACAAAAACCATGACTTAAAACTGTAAATTGATATGTAATGTGTTTAACTGGGGGGGGATTGAAAACCAAATTACATCTAACAAATCAAAATGGCAGAAAATTCCTAATTATTTAATAAACTAATGACAGCTACTTGATATCAGAAATCAATTCAAAACAAAAGCAAAACCTTAGACTACTAAAGTGTGTTGGATCATCAGTTAAATACAGACACTATTAACAAAATTTCTGTTTGTAATACAATAATATCTCTCAAAGTTCAGCAAGCTTAAAAGATTTAGGTTAATCCTACATGCAAGTTTATAGCTAAGCCAACAATACAAAATAAGTGTGAAAAGTAAATAATCAATTTTTTTTTATAAACAGTATAAACAAATAATAATTATTGAGCTAAGCAGAGAGAGAGATCTTCATAAGTGCTTCCTTGTCAGAGGTTTACTTCCAGTTCCTTATTCCTATATTATGAATAGATGTACCATTAAAAAAGTTTGATGATAATTTAAAGAGCAATAATAATTGTAAAAGAAATGAGGCTATTATAGATGTAACAAGAGACCTCTGTTCTGTATGTTCTCTCTATTGTTTTTTCTTGCACTGTTGTTTTTGTAAAAAATTTTACAATAGTGGTTGTGTGGGTTTTCAAACCATATATTTTAGTAGTACAAGACTTGTAAGATCGTTGTTTCTCTGTTTAATTCAACTACAGAAGCCCTTTGATGTTTTGTGTGATTAACCTTTTCCGTGAGTTGCTTGAATTAATTCGGGCAAACCATTTTTTGCTGTATTTTAAATTATATGCCTGAATTTAATCATGTATTATCATAGACCATCAAAAAGCAAAATCAATAAAACTTGCCTTTTTTTGAGCTCATTTCCAAAATAAAACCTGACATGGAAGCATTTAATATAGACATACTGCTGGTTGAATGGGATGGGGTCATTGCTGCTCTGAAATGTTTCACTAGTGGACGTACCATTATTCTTTGCTTATTATGGCCAGTGTGTAGTGGGAATAGTACCCCAAAGTTAGTGTTGTTGCTAACAGTTGATCATTGTTAATTGATATTAATGAAACTCGTTAATACATTAGTATAAGGGCTTTTTATTTTTGTCTTAGATTGAGAGTGGAAGCTATAACAGTTAATTCCAGTTTGAGATACTCTACCCAACTTAAAATGTTTGTGTTTTGGTTCTTCTACCAGATGGTTAATCTGAACACTTGGCTTTCTGGGAAACTGAATGGTGTTCAAATTGTTGTGGTGCCCCAACAGTTAGTAGAATTAAGTCAAATTGTTGTGGTACCCCAACAGTTAGTAGAATTAAGTCAAATTGTTGTGGTACCCCAACAGTTAGTAGAATTAAGTCAAATTGTTGTGGTGCCCCAACAGTTAGTAGAATTAAGTCAAATTGTTGTGGTGCCCCACCATTTTGAAGATCTTGTTTAAATTGCAGCTGAAGTAATGAGGTAGTATGAGGGTAGAAAAAGTAGCTCCTTTTTTGTGTGTGGCATTATAAATGTAGAAACGACATGTAAATGAGTTTTAAATACCAGATTAAGAATACATTAGGCATACTAATGAATTATCTTCATTAAAGGAAAATGAAACTATTGGTAATTCAAGAAACCTTTCTTCATGATTAAACTCTACTTCTGTAATCAGTGAATCAGCCTAAGATTACAAGTGCTCGGAGTATTGGGTGATGTAAAAGTTATTTTACAAAGTTGCATGGAATACAACATAATTAATGTTGTATTAAAGTATCACATTAAAATTCTGTACAAGTCTGACAACTTTCATAAAGTAATACATCATAATGAAACAGTCAGCATAAAAAAAAAACAGTGAAATTATGATGTATTAATTTTTTTAGGGTCAAATTAATTTGTACTTTAATCTAATAGTTGAATATTTTTTTTGGTGTGAGTTCCAGAAGTTATGTGGTAACAGAAGTAGTGTCATTAGTATCGTTATTGGGTGTCACTGTGGTCCACCTTTTATTTACAGCATATGTTCTGTAGGTTTAAAGCTTGTTGAACCCTAGACAGAATTGATTTTTTTTGTAACAGTAAGATCAATGTGTGTTCAGAACATGCACTACCAGTGTTCAACTGTTTTAATGTTACACTTGATGTGCGTTTGTCTCGGCTGATAACTGTTGTAGGTCAGTAAATGCAACGGGCCTTAATACTTTTTACAGCCAGTAAGACCATTGTTTTATAATGATCACAACATACGAGTAAACTTGTACAATATCTAATCACTTGGTGTAAAGAACTTGCAAGTTTTTAAAGATTAAGTGTATTTAAGGTTAGTTGATGAATATGTATTTTATTGTATTCGGTGATATTGTAATTAAATGACTGTTGTTAAAGAAAATTTATTTACCTTTTTGTTTTAATCTTAGTATTGTTGCAAAAGTTTTTAATACCCAAAAGAGATAATGAAGTTTTTTTACTGTTTGAAGTAAGATTTTAACGAGAGGATATAGCTTTTTGAGAAATTTTAATTGAGGTAATGAAGTTTTTTACTGTTTGAAGTAAGATTTTTATGAGAGAATATAGCTTTTTGAGAAATTTTAATTGAGGTAATGAAGTTTTTTACTGTTTGAAGTAAGTTTTTACGAGAGGATATAGCTGTTTGTGAAATTTTAATTGAAGTAATGAAGTTCTACAAACAGTTGCAGACTTGTGCAGAAAAACGGTCATATATCGTCTTTTAGATTGGAAGTTTATTTGAGGCTCCTTTTTCATTGTAGTATGTATCTTCAAACAAATGCTATTTCTAAAAACTTTTTTTTTTTACTCTAGTAAATATTGATGTCGTGATATTGTGTAATTCTCTGTGCTGTTCAATGTACTTATTTTTTAAGTGATTTTAAAAGAAAGTACTTTTTGTAGTCTGTATAATATTTCTGTACATTTATACATACAGCTACGTATGCTGCTACAGGAGTGTGTTCATGTTAAAACTGCTAGAGAAGAAATAGGCCAAGAAAGTTCTCAAGATTAAAATGTGTATTTATTTCTTACAAAATAAATTTGTATTTATTTGTGTACGTGTAATTGCAGCAGTTTTATTTCTTGCATCTTTACAGCATTCAACTAGGTTATGATGACAAGACTCGTCTTATAGATGGCACAACAGTTACACAGTTTACATGTTAAAGATGGTACAGATAATGATAACTTAAACATTAAAGAGGATATTAGGGTTAGTGGAAGGAAAAGCTAAACTTCACAAACTGTTATACGCAAGTCCGACTAGAAAATATGAGCACACATACATGTAAGATCACTCTTTGGACCAGTTTAGTAAAAGTTGTACCATTTTAGTTAAGCTCTGGCTGAATCCCAACACAGGATTTGTGTCACTCTACTATTAACTTGTAATGCTTCTTGTATTATACTTCTATACACTTTCTTTTCTTTACTAACCGGTTTATTTCACCGTACATTTTTTATGAAGCGATGTGTGTTTCTCTTGATATATTTTAACCGGTGTGTTTTACAGTATTGTTACTATTATGTACATTAACCAGTTTCTTTCTATGTATTTGCATTTGTTTTAGGTTCTTGTGATCTAGCAGGGTCATTTTATCATTGTGTATTATTGGGTAGTTGTATGTCATGTGATTGTCTTGGTCTTTAAAGAAAAGTATTTATTTCTGAACACATGACCCAAAACAGATTTGTAGGTTATGTTTTACGGTATAGGACAGTTACATATTTTGTACACGTACATGAACGTAGCATTATTACTTATTTATAACCACAGTTTATCATCTTCATCATCTAATGGTTTACAATGATTGATTGTTTTGTTTCAGTTATTTAGTTGTTATGGGAATGTGATGAAGCATGATTGACTATATAAGCTACAGAAGTTTACACAAGAGTGATGTCACATTCTACACTCTTCGTCAGTACTTCTACAGAAACTAGTCACTTTATAGTGTGATTCTCATTTCCATATAAAATGTATCAAATATTGTGACTTTTCCTCGTTATCAATGTGCTCCCAAAGGAGTTTTTATTATTGAGGTTCTGCTTGAGATGTATGCAATAACATCATTGAAATTTTATAATGAATATTCTCTTACTTTCAGGTCCTTCGTATAGAGAATCGAAAAAGTTTGGCTACCGGTCTTCTCGGAGTGGCGGTACGAGGCCTTATTGTCCGATCTGTCATCAAGACTTCTATGATAGACAGGTTCTGAAGAGGCACATGGATCGACACAATCGCCGAAGACAGACATTTCAATGTGATGTGTGTTCTAAAACCTTTCTCTATGCAGCAGGATTGTATAGACATAGGAAACAACATGGAGGAGCACCAGTGTTTCAATGCCCTTTGTGTCAGAAAACATTTGTCTATAGTTTGTCTTTAACATCACATTTGAAGAATAACCATAGTCTATACTAATCTTTTTTTTATAAGCTAATTAGATTTATGTTTACACTGAGGTTTAATTATGATCTTCACTGAATATTTATATTTTTTCTTTAAGTTAACTTATTTTTTGGTCTTGATATATAAATCGATAAGCTTTAACGAGCGTGAAGCACCAATTTTGAAACTTGTCAGTTCGAGTGTTTGTAGGAACTATTTTTTCTCACACAAAAAGGAAGTGACTAACACTCTATACAAGTATGTGTGAAAGAAGTGCACCTTACCAATAAAACTATAGTATTATAACATTTTGTTTTATTAAGAGGAAATCTGAAACTTAAACTCATAACAGTTGATTTTGACTTGGAATTTTGTTAATACTCCTATCTTGCTATATTAGTGAAAGACAGATTTTAAAGAGGGTATTTTGAACACTATTTTATGGGTATATTGCTTTTATTCTGTTAATTTCACAGAGTTTTATATATACAACTACCTTTTAAAGAAAATATCTCTTTATCTATGTAGAAAGGATTGCTTGACAAACTTTGATCATTAGAACTACTTTGTAAGTTGTTGTTGAGAAACAGATTCCAATAAAGTAGTAAAAAAAAAAATTGCACAAAAGGCTTTTATGTTGTAATAATGCAACTAGTTTATGGCATGAAAAATGTATATTCTCACACTAGGTAACAAAATCCCTACCATAAACAGCTATGAATTGTTTTGAAGTAAATTTTTGTTTTTTGCCATAGTTTTTAGTAGCTTAGAAAAAAAACTTAAGTTGGATATCAACTCCACCAGAAAGACTCAAATACGTGAGGTCACTTTATGTTCACGTAGGCATGAAACATACTGTGACATTGAAACATAAGGTATTATAATAAATCTACTGAGAAAGGTTAAATTTCCTCTTAAAAGTGTTACGAAAACACACTGTGACATTGAAACATACATACTAAAAGTGTTACGAAAACACACTGTGACACTCCCTATGTTTCAATGTCACAGTGTGTTTTCATAACACTTTTAAGAGGAAATTTAACCTTTCTCAGTAGATTTATTATAATACCCTATGTTTCAATGTCACAGTGTGTTTTTGTAACACTTTTAAGAGGAAATTTAACCTTTCTCAGTAGATTTATTATAATACCTTATGTTTCGTGTTTTCGTAACACTTTTAAGAGGAAATTTAACCTTTCTCAGTAGATTTATTATAATATGTGACATTGAAACATACATACTAAAAGTGTTACGAAAACACACTGTGACATTGAAACATAGGGTATTATAATAAATCTACTGAGAAAGTTTAAATTTCCTCTTAAAAGTGTTACGAAAACACACTGTGACATTGAAACATACATACACATTAGAATTTAAACTTTATAGTTTTTCAACAATCACAAAATTTATTAATGCTAATGGCAACCCAGTAAGTTTAGTACAACAACATGTTTGTCACCTTACCGTAAATAAAACTTCTTAACGAGAGCGTTTACTTTCTTCTTCATTTATGGACAACTTTAATGATTTGATGTTAATCACAGCTAGCTCTGGTACAGAAACACCACTGAACCTTTTTTTTTATTCATATCAGGTTTTGATAGTGAAAATTTTAAGTTGGTAAATGAATATCTGACAAAAGTTCAATATTTACTTATATGCCCGTGTATTTTGTTTAAAAACTCTAAACTTAGTAATGTAATCCTTACATGCTACAGGATACCCTTCCTCCTATGCTACTGTTATGAGGAATGTTACTCATGCAAAGCAGGACAAGAAGAAAAAACCAAAATGTCCTTTATGTCAGCGAGAGTTTTTCAACAACCAGACATTGAGAAGACATATGGAACTCCACAGTGGGAAGACCTATGAATGTGACATCTGCCATGCTATATTCACGCACATCACTGTCTTGTACAACCACAGAAGAACTAGTCATGAATCCAGTTTCCGTTGTCAAGTCTGTAACAAAGCCTTCATGCAGGAGACAGCCTGGAGAAAACATGTGATTACTCACCATTCTCACCACAAAGCTTAAGTGCTACAGTTTTAGAGAAACACTCTTCATTTTTATATCTATTGGCTTTTCCAATACATCCAAATGGAATTAACAATACATATATATGTTTATGATTTATATTGGTTTACTGTGGTGTGTGAAATGTAATTCTTTTGAAATAAATGTTGTTTTTATGTAACAGTTTACAGTTTTTCCCAGCTGAGTGAGAGTTTTTAAATCCATGAAACTTTGTATTATTAAAAACTTAAATTTTATATATTTTTATGACTGAAGAGGGAGAATATTTCACGGATGTTGATTAGGTGCTGAATGAATCCCTGTTATAACTAGTGACATACTTTTTATGATCGTTAACGGGGAACAAAAATATTGTGGTAAATTACCGTCTGCTCTACCGCTGTTAAGTTTTATTATATTTTATTAAACTCATTTAGCTTAACATCATAAAAAAGTGGAATGGTTGAACTACAACTTGTTACTTGTAAGCTGTCTTATCAAATTAAAAGTAAAAACTGGACGGGACTCAAACGAGAGCCACCAAACCATCTAAGTTATTGGATCTGTGAATTTTTAAGTCACTTCGTAGAGAGGACAAAAAGGTGGGACTTCTTAGTTATTACAGTTGGTTTGTAATGACTGTAATTCATTTATTGCCATTTTCATTCTAAGTGTCAAACAATAAAGGTGTACTCAACTTAAGGCTGGAAACTTCCATTAAATTTGTCACTAATCGCAGGAGAAGGACCGTTGGATGTATCTTTTGTTTGTTCGCAGAATCTTTCCACTGGAAGAAACTGATAAAGGACAAAATGTTCTAAGATGAACTCTGCTGATAGTGTAGTTTGTTCTGTGAGTTCTAGATACAGATCATCTTGTTGTTTAGGAAAACTGCTGAATTTCTTGTATCTGATAGCAAAATTATAATACTCTAGTAATTTTATTTGGCATAGAACTTTCCTCTTTGTGTAGGTACTGTACAGTGATCTAACCAAGTTAACGGGAAATTATTCTGAGAAAGTTGGCACTTGAGAAAGACCTACACCAGTTGCCACCTTTCAACTCCATTCAAGTAAGAATTTACAATAAAGAACAAATGGCATCTAAACAAAGGACAGACCCAAGTTCATCATCATTGGTCCATATCTAAACAAAGGACAGACCCAAGTTCATCATCATTGGTCCATATCTAAACAAAGGACAAACCCAAGTTCATCATCATTGGTCCATATCTAAACAAAGGACAGACCCAAGTTCATCGTCATTGGTCCACATCTAAATAAAGGACAGACCCAAGTTCATCATCATTGGTCCATATCTAAACAAAGGACAGACCCAAGTTCATCGTCATTGGTCCATATCTAAACAAAGGACAGACCCATGTTCATCGTCATTGGTCCATATCTAAACATAGGACAGACCCAAGTTCATTGTCATTGGTCCATGTGAAAACCCATGTTCATCATCATTGGTCCATGTAAAGACCCAAGTTCATTGTCATTGGTCCATGTGAAATCAACAATCTGTAAGAACTTCCAGAGCCAGACTAAGAAATCACTGAACAAAAGCCATGTAATAAGCCTCTTCCCTATTAAGTTCCTGTGCTTGTGGTGACTTATCAATATATATATCTGATTTAGAGAATGTAAAGATGCTGCCTGACACATGAACACCAAGGCCTCTTGTGAACCAGAACATACAGTTGCCAACATCCCTGTGCTTGTGGTGACTTATCAATATATATATATCTGATTTAGAGAATGTAAAGATGCTGCCTGACACATGAACACCAAGGCCTCTTGTGAACCAGAACATACAGTTGCCAACAGCCATCTAACTGACTGGAAGAAGTATAAACATATCGATAAAGAAGAAACCTGGAAAACTGTGAAGATAAAACGAGAGACTACATGCAAAATTCACAAAACCAAGAAATTTGTGTTTTAACACCTATGATAAGCAGAAACAATTGTATAAAGCTCTATTGAGGCTTGACTTTCACAAACGTAACAAGCTTAGTCCTCATCATAGCTGTAAAGATTCTTGGCCTGTGATAAAAACCTCAGCTATTCCTGCTAATATAGACTGTTGAAACTATGTTTGTTTTAGGAAATCCTAATTTTGTATCAGCCCAATATTCTCTGATTTATTGTAATCTTAATATTCCATGCCAAGGATCTCATATGTACTTAATATTTCATGCCAAGGATTTCATGTATGTTAAATATTCCATGTCAAGGATCTCATATCTACTTAATATTCCATGCCAAGGGTCTCATATCTACTTAATATTCCATGCCAAGGATCTCATATCTACTTAATATTTCATGCCAAGGATTTCATGTATGTTAAATATTCCATGTCAAGGATTTCATTTCAGCTTAATATTCCACATCAACTTAATATTCCATGTCAAGGATTTCATGTAATCTTAATATTCCATGCCGAGGAGTTAATGTCAGCTTAATATTCCATGTCAAGGATTTCATGTAATATCAATATTCCATGTCAAGGATTTCATGTAATCTTAATATTTCATGCCAAGGATTTCATGTAATCTTAATATTCCATGCCGAGGAGTTAATGTCAGCTTAATATTCCATGTCAAGGATTTCATGTAATATCAATATTCCAAACCAAGGATTTCATGTAATTTTTATATTCCATGTCAAGGATTTCATGTAATTTTTATATTCCATGCCAAGGATTTCATGTAATATCAATATTCCATGCCAAGTATTTCATGTAATCTTAATATTCCAAACCAAGGATTTCACGTGATCTTAATATTCCATGGCAAGGATTTAATGTCAGCTTAAGATTTCATGCAAACGATTCATATCAATTCAATATCATATGATAAGGAATTAAATATATGTTTATATCTAACCTTAATCAAACACACACATATCAGTAATAAAATAATTTGTACAAATGTATATTTACAGTTGTTGCTTTTTCTCGTACTTTCCGTTTATAATTTTGAAACCCATGTACAAGTTTTGTCTTAAGATGAGAATTTTTAGTTTTCAAATGGTTTAAATTTTGTCTTAACCAGAACATGTTCCTTGATTTACAGAAATGTACAACATACAGAATAATC